AAGTTTCGTGGCGTTAGCAATGCTATTGCTCGTCGAAGAGCCCCTTAAAGCACTCAAGCGCCTGTTGAAATAACGTCTCAAACATCTCTTTGCAACTTTGTGGCACCTTTAGTCGATTCGCATCGTGTAGCATTAGAGACGGTGTTCCATTAATGATGCACAAAGTTGTCATTGGTACGGTGGCAAGTCATGTTGAGTTGTTTGTTGTTCACATTTCCTCCAGCCCATTCTTATTCGCCTACGCAAAGCTGCAAAATCGGTGGATTGGATTAATCCCTCAATTTTTCCTACATTTAAATATTTTGATGCAAATAGCAACCAAATTACACTCGCCGTCATTCCACCTCATTTCACTTATTCTCTGTAACTAATGGCAAGATAATATTTCGTTGCAAATGCATCGACAATGACTCGAGTAAAGCAATGCGGAGGGCACAAAAGTATTTGACGACTTATGTAGAAAATGAGGTTGTTTTCTTAAGGCGACCTTGCCTGATTGCTGGAGCTGGGAGGTTTTATCAATATGCCCTGCCAAGAAGTGATTTTTTTCTCCAGGCTTCACAAAGCCTGGGCATGATGGTGGAAATGTATCCGCTACCCTGTCAAATGCAACGACCATGAAGCTGACACTGTGGGAAGTGAGCGAGCGGGGTGAGGAGGAAGTCATGTTTAAGTTCACCTTCTCCTCGCGTTGTTGCCTTCCCATTACGAGTAACTGTAAGACAAACGAGTTATCATTATTCATCGGAGGAGATGAATCGGTTTGTACACCTGCCAAAAGAAGGAGTTGGACTGTAGAATGGGCATGGCTATGGATGTCACTTTTCATGCACACATCCTCTTTACCTTCATCTCAACACCTCCATTACTCCGTCTGCGCTGGTGGTTTGACTGTTAGTGGAGGAAGTAGGCCAACGAATTGGTAATTGCTACACTCACAAACGCGATACGCTCCGTAAATTCGCGGTTTTATTACCATTTTGGTTCCGCTTTCGCCTAACTTTTCCATTCCCCAAAAGCGATGTTTTTTCCAATGCATAAGTTTCTTTTTTGTCACTCCTTGGTTGAGTGATTGCTTTGGGAGGAGAGGGAAGCTGAGATTTGTGAGTGTCATGTTGTAAGTAAACAGGCATGAAGTTTTGTATGGAGAAAAGAAGTGTCATTAACACTGAGACTTCAGCCTATTTAGCATGAGGAGAGACAAAGGACACAATTTTGTCCAAATGTTTGCCTTTCTATCGTTGGGAATGGAAGCTCTATGTTTTGGTCAATCCGTACAAGAGGATGGAAAAAGTCACCAATGGTATGCGATTGGCAAGAAAAAAAGTGGTAGAATGCACAAGCATGCACCCACACTTCCTTTTTGTGCCTCTAAGGAGAAGGAAAAGGTTGATGAAGAACACCTTTTTACACAGAACTTCCTCCTGGCACATTGCAGACACAATCCGAGTGTGAAAATGCTGGCGGTTAAACCTATGTGTAGAGTTTGTCTAAGGGGAAAGAGACATTGTTAAATCCCTAATTGATGAAGTTGACCCAAAGAGATCGTCCACTCACTGCACACTGCTATCACTCGTTCCAAAACCTTTTTTTTTCTTTCCGCTTTTTTTGCCTTTTATGAATAAACAAAAGGCATTAGTTTCACTGGGATAGGAAACGGTAATAAACGATAGTCAGTAGCATTTCAACGCAGTTACCATTCCTGATGACCTGTTAGGAACCTCGAAATGACGTAGCGACTTGTTGGTACGCATTGGCCATTTATCAGCATGATAAATGGCATTCTGCCTGTTAGGCCGTTCGATGGTGGTGGTAAGATCTGCTTCTCCGCCTCGTGCGTAATCGTGTCTCCTTCTCCTTGAGGTGGCACATCTGTTGTTGCTTCCAAAGAACCTCAAAATAGCGACCATATGCTTCATGTGCGTAGTTAAAATGAACCCTTAAAGCAGTAAGTTTTGTTGGTGAACAATCAATGCAGGGATGTGCGAGTGAATTTTACGCTGCTTTCTTACACGTCCGCCATTTTTTTGCCCTCCGATAGGTTGCAAAACGGCACAAGCGTTTCCTCTTGCGCCAAACAAGTAATTCCAGCAAGACCACTTTCCTTATCGATGAGGAGGCGGCATCCAGTCCTTCAATCACCAAAACTGACATATCACGACCTCCCCTTCTCGCACAACCCAGTATACCGACCTTCACCATTACCGGCAGTAGCGATCAGAACTTGAATCGCCCTTTGGATGTACGTTCTAACCAGCTGTGGGACGTGCCCGAAACCTCTCATGAACAACTGGCCACGCCACATGAAAACAACCCACCCAACTACCTTTCCTTTCTATCTGTAAAATCCTCTGCAGCGGCTCTTACGCGCACCTCGTCTTCCATTGACTGCTCTACAAGCGCTGTTTGCGGCAGTGATGGTGCAAAGCGCAAACTCACATGCCCGGAGATATTGCCAGGTGAAGGAAGACGTAAGAGCATGACAGAACTCTACCAACCTATCATTCTCATGCCACAAAAGGGCCGCAATGATAATGTCACAGACTCGGTCTTTGTGCGACAACTTCAGCGCCAACATAAACGAACTGTAGTGGTACTGGCTAGCATCCTTATCGTCTTCATTGCGTGCCACGGACCTCGGGCAATATGGTTGTGTGCAAGGTGGTTTTACACTGATGTAAGTGGACAACTCCTGCTCTTGGTGACTCTGTGGTCTCGGGTGTGCATCTTCCTAGATCCTGTACTCTACGGATTTTGGGGCAACAGAGCTTATCGCCGATGCTTGCGAAATCTTTCTCACCACCTTGTCCCGCCTTGTGGTGATAGAAGCCTGAAAAAGAATGGCATTTAAGGCAAAAACAATAGACATTTCCACATCCCTGGCCCTCAATTATTTTGTATCAAACTGATTAGGTGTTCATAATCACTTCATGCGTGTACATAAAAAAAGTAAATTTTGTGCATCTAGGCGTTGGATTTTACACTGAAACGGGCCCTTGCTGTAGTACCAAGGGGTGCACTCCTCTCATTTTTGACAAAAAAACATGCCTGCTGGAGTGTTGAAATATCAACAAATGCTAAAGGCCAAACAAGGACGGAAGGACATTTTTGCAGGCTCTCTTGTAACTTCTCGTTGGGGAAATGAAGAAAATCACTTAACTTTATGTCAAGAGGTGCATTTCAAGGTTGACAAGGTGGACAATAATTGATCCAAGTGATTTAATTTGATATCTACTTGCATCAAATGAGACCACTAAGTCTTAAACTTTGTTTGGAGTAAGGAACAAAGTCTCAACAACGCCAACGCATAACCGTCTGACAGTTTTATCGTTTCAATCTTGCTAATTCCAAATGGCGTGTATAGGCTAACCAGTTTAGTCATCTCCAACTGTGTCCCTGTGTATTCTCTTTTGACCAAAAGCTAATAAAATGTTGTTTTGAAACACTTATCATAACCTGATTTTGGCAATCCAGTTCGCTGCCAACTTGCGCATTCTCGACAAATATCGACACGTAGATTCCATGGACCCCTGTTAGAAGGTGGACTTTTACCTCCAACAAAAGCCAACAACACGAGTGCTCTGCACTCCCTCTTTAG